CCGTTTTCTCAGTAAATCCATGCATAACTCTGTCTGTAGCTCTTCTACAGTTGCTGCCGGTCCCAAGTCTGTGTAGTGAGGAAGGTTGGGCGTTGGGTCGGCAACCCTATCCCATTCAAAACATTCTTACTAAAAAAACACTAACGTGATTAAACACTTTAAACTCTGTCCTCCAAGTTGAAGGAAGAATTATGACGCCTCATGATGAAAGCCGAGATTCTTTGAAAGTTGCGAGGTTGATGTCACTTCTAACAACTACAGCGATAATTAATATATTACATGGAATGTTCGGAAAATTTGAGAGATCAGGAAGATCAAACAAATAGCTACAGAAATGAGGAGATACAATTTGACGGTGCTCGGAATCAGTGAAACCCATTGGACTCAATCTGGACAACAAAGGCTAGTTACGGGAGAGATGTTATTGTACTCAGATTACGAAAAGGAAAATGCTCCACACACTCAGGGAGTTGCTCTGATGCTGTTCAAAGAAGCAGTAAAGCACTTATAGGATGGGAATCTCGTGGATCTAGTATATTCAAAACCATGAGGGAGGGAATCACAATGAATATTATCCAATGTTATGCACCCACTAATGATAGCAATCGCGACGATAAAGATCAGTTTTACGACGGGCTACAATCGATCATAACAAAGTGCTCAGGAAAGGACCTGACAATTCTGAGGGGAGACCTAAACGCCAAAGTCGAAATGGAAAACACTAAGTATGAAAATATCACGGGACGATATGGACTGGGAGAAAAGAACGAAAATGGTAACAGATTTGCGAATTTCTCTGCATTCAACAAAATGGTTATAGGCGGTACAATATTTCGACACAATTGCATGCACAAAGCTATATGGGTCTCACGTGATCACGCCACAGAGCACCAGATCAATCATATTTGCATCAATAGAACATTCACAAGGTCAGTTAAAGACATGAGAACCAGGAGAGGAACTGACGTAGCTTCAGATCACCACCTAGTATTTGCCAAGATGAAATTGACGCTAAAGAAGCAGTGGACAACTGAGGAAACAGAGTTACAAATGTTCAGTGCAGCTTTCCTCCGATATACTGACTAACTCAACCAATTCAAAATAGCTCTCAACAACACGTTCTAAGCCTTAAAGTATCTACTGAAAGAAGAAACTACTATGGGGGACAACTGGGAAGAGATCAAAGAAGCACAAACTTCAACTTATCAGGAGGTTATGGGCCACAAGAAGCATCATTATAAGAAACGGATCTCTATCGTAACCCTGGAGAAAATTCAAGAAGGAAAAAGGAGACAGCAATACACAACAGCCAAACACGGACAGAGAAAGTCGAGGCACAATATGAAAACACCGAGGCTAACAAGAAAGTGAAGAGAATTAGAACCGACAAGAAGAAATATATGGAAGAGATGGCGACGACAGCAGGAAAAGATAAAAGCGAAGGAAGTATGAGACAGATATATGACACAACGAAGAAACTGACAGGGGAATATAGTAAACCAGAGAGACCAGTCAAGGACAAAGAATGCAAGCCAGTTACTGAGATTCAAGAGCACAGGGATAGATCAATAGGACGCTTCGAGGAACTCTCGAATATACCAGCTCCACTGAATCCACCAGATATCGAGGCAGCACCTACAGATGTCACAATATCAACGGTCAAAGAAATCAAGAGTGGGGAAGCAGCAGAGCCTGACAACCTACCAGCCGAAGTCAAACATAGAGGTAACTGCAAACATGCTTCACACTCTATTCAGGAAGATTTAGGAGGAAAAACAAATAACGAAACACTGGAAAGAAGGATAGCTCATCAAGATACACAAGAAGAAATCTGAGAAAACGCGAGAACTATAGATGCACCGCACTACTGTTAGTACCAGGAAAGTTTATCAAGTGTTGCTGAACCGGATAAAATACGCAGTAGACCCACAACTTCGAAATCAACAGACCAGATTATGTAAGAATCAGTTGTGCACAGACAAATTGCGACACCACAGACTACCGTTGAACAATCAACTTAATGGAACACGTCATTATATACGTAATTCACCACTCTACATCAACTACATTGACTACGAAAAAGCACAAGAGGAAAAGCAAGATCCTAAAATACAACACAGAGAACACCAAAGCATTCACACTTGAAGAAACTCTGGGAGATGTAGAAACCTTCACGTACCTGGGATGCATCATCGATGAACAAGGAGGACCAGATGCAGACGTAAAGGCGAGGATTGGCAAAGCAAGGTCTGAATTCCTACAATTGAGGAATATGTGGAACTCAAAACAACTTTCAACCAATATCAAAATGAGAATCTTCAGTACGAACGTCAAGACATTTTTACTGTATGGGGCTGGAACTTGGAGAATTACCACAACCATCATCAAAAAGGTACGAGTATTTATAAACAAATGTCTACGTAAGATATTGAATGTCCGTTGGGAGAGAACAAACCAGCTTCGAGCTGATGAGGAAAAAAACGCTGGAAGTGGATAGAACATACATTGAGCGCTAACTTGGAATCCTGAAAGGCAAAGCAGAAGACAAGGGATTGTCCAACACGGAGTCGGATGGAGAATGTTGGTGGACGGCCTATGCTCCTCCATGAGGGTAACAGGTATAAATAAGTAATAATGTTATGAAAAAGAAACCGCGTTTTATCCTACCTGCAACTTCTCAGCTAATTTTACCTGCATCCCCGGAGTTGGTCCAACAGAATTCAATTGAATTGCATACATACAACTTTGAAATATATCTGAATATTGGGAACTGAAACAGGATCGATATTCATTCTTAGTATAAATTTTCGTTTTAAAGAAAGCTTTATTTTGCTGTTGAACAATGAATAAAAAGACTGAGGCTCGACTTTTTATAACAAATTATGTAATAAAGTAGGCTGAGTAAAATTAAATAAATGAGATTTTATAATTCGTAATACGACAGAAGGCTTTCTCAAATTCAAGCAAAAATACACGAGCTGAACGAAGAGTATTTTTTTCAATAGAAATCATCATTACGGTCTGCAATTATAAATTCAAATTATTATTCCTGAGAGGATAGTCAGGGTAAATACATCATTTAAGATTACAGCGTATAAATTTAGGATTGTTAGTGTGGTGTGTGCTACTAATGTCGACAGATATAAGTAGTGTATAGCACCAATCAGAAATGGGAGGTCTGGTAGTAGAATGTTGGGAAGATCGGATCAATGAGATCGGAAGCAGATAGTAATCCTTATGCAAATGAAGGAACAGTGGAAGTTAAAACGATTGATGAAGTTTTTGCAGAGGAAGTATCGAATGTATGGTTTTCACATTTTACCAAAGAACAGTAATTTTGTACTGAAGTACGTTTGGTTGTCCCCGCCTGTGTTCACATTCACTTTATTAGTACCATCCAATGGAATTATTGGTTTTTAAAAAGATCTAGTATGGTATATTTGAATGGAATAAGTTTATATGTGAGTTGATATTTTTAGACAAATTACAAATGACATAGATTTAGAAAACTAACATAACTACACTTCAAATCAAAAGGTTTAACTACATTAACCGGCTGACACAAAACAACTTTTTTAGATATTTGTGATCATTAAAATCATAGCTAGTTATAAATTAATTGCTCTTGAGACCAAAAAAATAAAAGGTCGATTATTTCGAGAAAAGATTGATAAACGTTGAGACATAACATCTCTTTACAAAATTCTACTGATAGATATAGAAAAATTGAAGACCACATGAAAGTGGGAAGCCATCAAAAGCCCATCTCTCTCAACTGCAAATGTAAAGTTGATGACGTTACATGAATAATCCTGAGGCTCAAAGTTCCATTATCTAGAACCTATTGTACATTCAGACACACAAAGTAACTCAAGAATTGTTCTTTTAAATAAATTGGAAGCTCCTCAACAATATAAACTCTTTAATTGATATTTTCTAGTATTTCAGCATTATAGTGATTCACGTAATCAATTAGATTTAAGCAATAACATCTAAGCGTCTTTGCATTTGGTTGAATTCCAGAGTAATTAAAGATTTCCAGGATTTTTCACGTACTTTTTTTATTTTTTTATGTAACTATATCTTATTATATCGACTTAGCAACAATAAAGTTTAAGAAATGCATGGGTTACAGTTTATTACTTTTGCTTCTATACTATCCGATATATAGCAACCCATTGATTAAGTGATTAATGAGTTGGACTTTCAACCACTAAATCCAAGGTTCTATCCTCGCTCCACTACAGTTTGGATAACGTGGTAGTGTCATTAGCCATCACACTGCAGTATCACAGCCCTCACACGTATCAAATGAGATTAGTGTGGCGCATATGTATTTGGTGCCTCCTTGTACCAATATCTATGTGTTGAAATAAATAATAATAAATAAATAAACACTGCGAATGAGGTTCATACCCGAGTGCCTGGTGAATTACTATTGTTATCAACCAGAAACATATTATCACTTATACACCCATACGACTGGTATTCGGATTAAAATAAGGAGAAAGTTTGCATTAAAACAACTCTTTAAAAAAATATACATATATATATACAAACCTATGAGAACTATACAAAATCAACAATCATGAACTAACAATCTTTAGTATTAGAAAAAAATTAACAAGCAAACTTTTTTCTCATAGTGAGCAACAGGTTTCAGGTAAAGAATAAAAAGCCATGAATGGAATTCATAGTTGTTATGTGAGTCGTGAGAAACACTCATTTATCTACATAACTACCTTTTTAGTTGTAAAATATACATACACATAAATTTAAAGATTAGAAATATTTCATTTCCTAAACTGACTACAAAAATGAAACGAAAAGAGTAGAAAAAACAACTGATCGAAAAATCATTCAATAGAAAATAATAATCATGTATAGTGATGATGAGGCAGTAAGTTGATAAGTATGACATGAGATCTTATATATATCATTGTGAGAGCTTAAGAAAATTCCTACAAGCTGTTGACTTCTCGTCTTTAATAGTTGTATTTTCAAAACGGATAATTCTGAACTGTGTGGAAATTTGGTAATGTGTGTGTGTAAGAGAGATCAGTATGACTACTGGTTGGTAGTGAATTATCATCTTGATGTTGAATGTACTGAGGAGTAGGGACCATAGTAATTTGACTTGGCACTGAGTCTGTAGATGCACTATCGGATGGTAAAGTGGCAAGTTCAAAACTTTTCTCTTGTATAGGCCAAACACCATGTTCAACAAGATTGATCAAACGACAACTTGTTGGGTCTTCAGCTGCTAATTTGACAAATACCAAATGTTCAAGGCACTTGTATGCGATGGATCGTAAAGGAGGTAATCTTAGTAGTAATTTTGTGAAACGGGAAGTATCTTGGGGTTGATTAGTCGTACAATACGAATGAAGAGCTGAATAAAGCTGCTCTCTGACAGCTTCTACTCGATGACGTGATGATAAGCCATTAGCATCTAAGAGAATAACGAGAGAAAACCAAAATATTAATTAGCAGTCTTGATAAGATCTAAAATGTCTGATTTCCAACAACAGATATATACAAAAAGTTGGATGATGTAGGAGTTCACATTAAAGTACCAAAAATAGGTGGGCAATGAATAAATCTAAAATTCGGTCGACGGGTACTATTGATCCTTTTGCTTGTAAGTTTTAAAAAAATAGCTGTTGTCATGAAAAATTCAAAAGGGTGAATCGCGACAACCAGACAATAAGTGGACACCACATACGATCACTTTTCAAGTGTTTCAAAAACAACATACTTACGATGGATGAATGAAACAAAAGATTTAAATATTTTCATAGCTTACTTAGACACGAAAGTACGTAAATGGGTTTGAATGAGTGAAAGATATGGATGTTTAGAACACCGACGATCATAAATATATATCGTTCGATCAAGTTTCTGGAATAGACACTGATAGGTAAATGTAAAGTGATTCGATGATTTCAAGTGAATAAATATAACAAACGAGTGTTCTTTTTAGTCCAAGAAGTTTACATGAATTTCCTTACACGGTAAAGAATTTAACTACTTGATGAAAGGAACACGGTAGCTGTATTAAAAAGTGGAAAGGAGTGAACAGTCATTTCTTTGGGTAAAAACTATTCTTATGGCTCTTGTGAGAATACATGGTCTGATATATTTTTAAGGATCTATGTACACAGATCATGATCAGGGACAAGTTAAGAACCACCGAAGGAAACCATTCCCGGGGAAATTCACCAAATGTAAATGAGGATACAGCAACAACGATAGTTTTTTACTTGAAGTATATCAAAATCTACAAGTGTTTTAGAGAAAACTACATGTTCCAAGACGATTATTAATAGCAGAAGAATAGACATAATACTAAGTCATCTATTCATCCGAATCAAAATAACACACTCGAAAACAGTAGCTTCAATTTGATTTCTTTAATTTACTATTCAGTACGGTGGAAACGATTATTAATAAATTACTGTAAAAAGAACTGACTGGATAACTCACCAGGATTAAAAAGAATAATAGCACGTAGTAAAGCTAATTCAGTTCTTTGTAATGATAAATCACGAAAACGTGCAACAAGTTCATGAAGAATTCTATCAACAAGAGGGCCTAGACCATGTGATTTAGCCACCTCCCTACCAAGATGACGTCCAATTGATAAAAGTAGACCGTCTCTAATAACAGTTGAATGATATGCTGAGCTGATTAGAACTAATTCAGGCCAAGCTTTAAAAAATAAAAAGAACAAATAAAGAACGAAAATAATCAATTATAATTTGATAACCATAAAAATAAAACATTATAATAGGTCTAAATATTTGATTTCTTCATATAACAAAATATCATAATTTATTTAATGAAACAAATGGACAATGATTAAAGGTTTCTGTTTAATTAAATTTCAAATAAGTTAATATCTTAACCATAATACAATAACTCAAGTACAATAAATTGTATGAATAAATACAAGTATATAATTAACTAGAGTCAGTCAGTCAGCTACAACGTAGGACCAGGCACATATGTGCACCGGTCCAGGTTGCCATACCGCATCAACACAACAAGATGAACACCAGATTCATAACAGTGGTTAGGTAAAAGGTGGTAATATATAAGAGAAAGATTGCATATAGAGATATAGTACAAGCAGAAAGAATTGGTTCGTAGAAAGAAAGATATGAAACGATTTTAATCTCATAGTTTAAGGGAAGACAGGGAGTGTATACACCGACGCCATTGTGATCGATTCTGAGCCATGTCACCAAGAGTCTCCAACCATTGGTTACGATAGTCACGCGGACCCCAACCAAGTAGTCTGCATCTACCAACATGGCACCGACTAGAAGTTAGTAACTTCAAGCACTGATGCCATGTTTTGGTTTGGCCGCCCCTAACTTTCTTCCAACCATTTCCATTAACTAGAAGAAAATAATAATAATGAATCAAGAGAAACTGAAAATTAGTTAGTTATGTAATGGTGAAGAAGATTTGTAACTCAGAGTGGAGTTTTGTTCACTGAGCTGGATGATTATTGTTTGTGTTTTCTTCCATGGGTGATTTTGAGATTTTGATTAGTTTTTTTTCTTTAAGGTGTTACTTCTTTGTTCTTTGTATCGCTTGTATGATATCTCGATGGCTAGTTATGTATAAAATAAACAATCTTGAAATAGATTTTTGTGTGTGTGTGTGTGTGTGTAAAATTTGAGAATATTAGATGAATTTTAAATAAATGTAATTTATATAATATTTGAGTATTTAATTTATGAACTAGTGATAATTTGATCCATTGATTAAATCCATAGTTATTAGAAGAGATTAGAAAACTGAAATAATGTTAAAAGTTAATTACATTTACTAATAAGCTATATCTTAACTTAATCACTATAATCATTGTATAATTATAAGTTTTATTAAATAAAAGAGTATTTACCAGCTTTTATTAAACAGAACTGATCATCAAAACTAAGATAGGCAGATGAAAATACTGGTAACTGACGAGCCCAATGAACTATTCGAGGTAATTGTTGTTCAATAGACTGACAGATTATGGTCAATGGATGTAAACCATTATTATCATCACCAGGTATATCTTCATAAATTGCTTCGCCTCTTTCTGATACAGCCAATTTAGGATCCATGCTTAATTCAGCCGAAAGTAAACATCGTAATGTTAAATTAGGTAGATCTGTTTCGTCGGATAGCAGTACATCATTAGATTGAATACAGGTAGTTGAACTTTCGGATTTAACTTGATTCGATTGTACACAGTCAGTAGTGGTAACGGTCGTAGAAATACTAGGTGGTGAATCATGATTAATGTTCGGATGCTGATCAGTAACAATTGAGTCAGCAGATTTGTTACTAAATGCTGAACGACGCCCATGACCTTTCTTTTCACTCTTTGGCGGCTTAGGAATTGAAGGCACTGGATTTGATGATGGTTGGCGATGACGCTCTTCTTGAACAGCTGAAAAATATAATAATATGTATTAATTTCGATTTTATGATAGCAACAGGCATTACATAAGAATATATGTAAATAGAAGGATATAATATATGTGAAGTGGTAGGGGGTGAGAAAAAGTTAGTGTAATTTATAACCTAGTACGCAAACCTGAATGTAGCTGATTATTTTATTTTTCAGACTGAAACCAGCCATTCTGTTTTCAAAATATTTATCAATAATTAGACTAGCTGAGTTTCATGGTGATCTATTTTGAGTTTAACATACAACTATCATTAAGATTTCATTGCTGACAGCCTCCAGAAAATTGACTGATGATTTCCCACCTAACAGAAACGATAAGCAATTTAAATAAGGATAATTTGTAAGAATTTATGACTTTTGAATATAATATGGGTTAAATTACACCATTTTCGTCTTTGCTCCATTATGGGAAGCACAAGAACTACAAGATAATGAATTTAGTGATCATACAAGAAAGTTCATTAGAGCTAATATATCTGCCTGTGAGAAATTATCACGTGTTTGTGTAAAATGCAAAATTTCTACGCTAGTTCTAATGGATTTTCTGTTTAGCCAACTATTTTTATGCGTTTAGTACAACCGTCTACTGGTCAAACTAGGGGAGTAGAATTAAGTATGAGGAGAAAAAATTCATTAAACATTAAATTTATACAAAAAATTTCCTTTCAATAAAATAGACAAATATTCAGTTACTTAATGTAGTTTACTGTATTTATAAATAGAAAATTTGACTAGTCTGTAGGTTACAGAAAAGTTTACATTAAAGTTCCGTTTGATAACCAAAACCTAAGGAACTGATATTTTTGAATTTGCTATGTGTTCAGCAATGTGATTATTTTTCTCTGAAAATCTGTTTATTTTACTCTACTATGTTAAGATCTAAACTAAGACAAGTTTTCAATAAGAACTTAGTTAATGGTTTTCAATATCGAAGAAAGATCGCTTACAAAGTAGTTAAATTCAGTTACACAAAACGTTAAATGCTTAACATAATGACTTACCTTCCTTCTTCATTCCCTTTGCTAAGCACTGCTCAAAACGGCAATGCTGACAACGTGTACGCTTCCGTCTGTCTACAGGACATTGACCTGATTCCCGACAAACATATACTAATTGTTTACGCACTGTTCGTTTAAAAAACCCCTTACATCCTTCGCATGAAATCACACCATAATGTTTGCCACTGGCTTTATCACCACAAATTACACAAATTGGATTCAAATTAGTTGTATTTACAGAAGTAGCTGATGAAGACTGGCTAGCCGATTCGGAAGGAATTTGTTCAAGGAAACATTCTCTACTCTCACGTTTTGTCTTGTTAGGATCGGCAAACAACAACGTTGGACTAAAATAGAACAAAATACATGAGAATATTGATCAAAGCATCATTTACGGGAATCGGCTGATTGAAAACAACATATGTAATGCCACAGTCCTCATGAATAGCGGAAGTTTACTGAACAAGTTTTGTAATATGATTAATATCCTGAATGATTTGACTTTGAAGTGTCTAGTGTTGAAAATGCTTTTGCCATGGATTTTGCAGCTACTGAAAGATATCAGTGAGATGTGTTCACAACCTCTAGGGAACTGAACTTTGCTCTATTTAACCTGAACCTGTAACCTTCAGAGCAGTAACCAGTGATACTATTGTTGAGATGTTTCGAAAACATATTACACTGAAGGGATAACTAATTAGAGCTAGTTTCATATGGTGCAAACTTGCTTAAAAAAAGCTTTGGATACACTATGATAATAAATTCTAGTACAAAAGAGAAACCTAAGATTGTTTTCAATGAATCATTATCGTACCTCTGAAAAGAAATAAAGTGAACCATTGTTCACTTATTGTTACATAATAAACATTATAATCCTTTCAATAAGATGACATAACAAAGTTAATTTCGCTTTGTTTGCTGAACAATAAGTTCATAAGTTAAATATGATGACGTCATTTCGACAAATATCATTATATCAACTCATCTTCAAAGTAAGACTTCAAACAAAACACAAAATTGATTATAATTGAAGACTTATGGTTTCAGAGACTTGATTAATCTGAAGTTAAATCAAATTAATAATAGTTTAATGGTAGTCTAACATTCATACATTCATGATATCAATTGAAAGGCAATAATCTCTACAACATTATGCTAATAATTTTCATGTGCTTGCTAGTGACTGGTTTCAAGATGAGTTTTCTGGAGTTTCAGTGAGAAGCCGATACTAGTGTAGTCCAATCCGTGGTGAGTAGAGACAGGTATCTACCTAGAACAATTGGTGAATAGTTGTGCAAGATCATGAATCGAATGAACTTAAACATTAACACCGCTAATGAGGTATGGCAACCTGGACCGATGCATATATGTGCCTGGTCCTACGTTGTAGCTGACTGACTGACTGAAACATTAACACCGTTGGATGCCGGCTCAGTGGTCTAGAGGTTAAGCGTTCACCCTGGATTCGAGTCCCGCTTGTGGTATTGTGAATGTGCACTGCTGAGGAGTCCCATACTAGAACGAAGTGGCCGTCTAGTGCTTCCAGGTTTTCAATGATGATCTAACATTCATTTATTCATGATATCAATTGAAACTCAACAATCTTTATAACCCTATACTGATAGTTTAAGAATTGACTAGCTAGTTGGTTTTAATTTACTACTATGTTAAAGTCGATTTAGAAGTATTAGCTTCGAATATGGAAGAAGTTAACGGTGAAAATCTCTTGGAAAATAGCTGGTCAGTTATTCAGTTGAATTGATTTTGTTGATCATATATCATGGAATATAACACAATAAGTGAATAAACTAGTGAATTATCACATTTTCGTTGAAATTTGAAGTGAATTTGAAGAATATGTGTAGCAATCGGACTTCTACAAACTTTATTTCCACTTATGTCATCCATTTATAAGCTTGTGGATTATCTAAATACGTTGTCAATGCTTCTAATTTTCCTAAGAATAATATAATAAATTTTTAAAAATAATAATTGATTGCATAAGACATATTGAGAAAATGATTCGAAAATTTTAGGGTTAGAACGTATATTGTCTAACAACAAAATTTATTTTGACTTTAATAGGTGAAAGGTTTTATATTCCCTTTTAAACAAGATTGTGTTAAAATGCTTTATATACAATGAATTTATACTTCATTTTGAAAAATTCCAAATAACAATTACATGTAGTCGACTTTGATTAACAAAATGATATTAGCTACAACTGAATTTTTAGCTCTTCTCTTGATTCGAAGTATAAAAAAACATCACCTAAACATATACTTAGTAAAACTGCAGGTAGCACGTTTTACCAATGACTAGCAGGTTGACAAGTAGATTGAGTTAATACGTTGCTATGACCCTTAAAAATTGGTCGTGACAATACTTTTCTGCAAACTATATTGGTGTATGTAGGTCAAATAGGTGTATAGATAGCAAAGAATACTAATTAGGTTGAATGTAAAACTAAACCATCTGATATATAGTAGAAGCCAAAACTATACACCGCTGATTCAGTTTATCAAAAACACAATAAAAGTAACATCATAGTTAAATAGATCTATATATATGGGGAGCGAGACAAAGATTGTGTATGTCAGTACAGGGTTGTAGAGATTGTTGAATTTTGTTGAAATCATAAACCAACGTTAGACCAACATTGAAGGCATAGAAGTACTGGACGACCGTTTCGTGATGGTATGAGAAACCTCAGGAGTGTGTATCCATGGCTTGAATGAAATTCAACAATCACCACGACACTATACTGACAATTATCGTGTGCTCAATAGTGACTAGCTACGAGACAAAATTTCCGCAGTTCTGGTGAGAAACCATGACCAGTGGAGCTAAACCGTGATAGGTGCGAGACAGATACCCACCAACGACAATGAAAGATGGTCGTGCAATGTCATAGATTGATTGAACTTAGACTTGTGCTGGATACCAGTTTGATGGTTTATGGGTCAAACGTTTGTGAGACCCTGGGTTTGGTTTCCACATGTGGAGTTGCGAGCGCTCACTGCTGAGGAGTCCGATATTAGAACGAAGCAGTCATCTAGTCCTTCTAGGTTTTCGATAGTTGTCTAACATTGATCGGTTCGTGATTTCAGTAAAATGATGTAGATATTGTTTTTAGTGTAATTACTTTACTAAGTACAAGGTTTGCGTATTTCACTTTGAGACAATTTCGCAGGAGATAGTGATACTACATACGTTTAATCTTACCATTTTTTTAACGATTTTTTTATTCGTAGTTTTAATTTTATCCCACTGTCGATAAAGTGTAGTAACTTGAGGTAATGAATATCTATCTCAGATCTTATGTTGACTATAACTAACTGACTGAATACTTGATAATCACGTGACCACAACAAATTGTATTTAGTTCATCAATTAGATTAATTTCATTAGTTTGAATTTAGATAACAGTACAAATTTATACAATAACTATATATAAAAATTAGAGGTTGAATTAGACCAGAAATATGCAATATAATTCCTGCTTACCCAAGCAGATTCAGTTTTCAAGCTGTAAAACCTAATCTTAACGCTTATAGTAAACACCATCTTGTTAACGGTCACTTCACAAACAAATTTCGGTGTTTTAAAGAATAATTTAGAAAAGCTTAAACCTTAGCGTGTTTCTTTATGTCAAGAATATTCTATTCACGACTTTTTAATTAACAATCGTGATTACATTTCACATCAATTTAATTAGTAAGTCATCAACAACATAGAGCCTGACAAAAGTATGCATTGCGCTAACTTGTTGTGTCCCATTAGCACGAAAAGATGAGTAGCAAGAAAGGTCGAAATAATGTAGTACCAATGACGAAATGAGCAAGCGAGCATTGAGAATAAATTCCGAATAGACAGTGGAAGGGTATGTATGGAAAAGTATTGGAACTCAATATCTTGAGGATGATAAAGAGTGAATGGATCTGCACCGTTGTGAACAATTTTGAGCCATACCAAACAAAGTTTCTAAACATTGGTTATGATAATCACGTGGACCCTAACCAGTTAGTCTGAATCCACCAACATGACTCAGACCAAGGGTTAACGACTTCGTAGACTGGTGCCACATCTTCTTCTTCTTCTAAAGAAGCCAAACATTGTCTAACGAGGTGAGCAGTGGTTAGGTATAACACACATCTTAACCACCTCTGTTGGTCAAGATCCATCACCTTACGAACCAAATTTTCCACTCTGTACCCAACCTGAACAGTTCCAACTCAGTCGTCCCAGTGAATCATACTTTGAAGATACCTATGACCAAAGTTGTCTTTTATTTTCATTGACCATGTTTCAAGGCAATAAAGCAATACGGAGCAGATCGCTGCACAGACATCCCCTTAGATCAGCAGACGAGCATCTTGCCCAAACCACAAGTGACACAAGTTACCAAAGACCAACTAAGCTTCTAAACACATGCAGAGGTTTCATCAGATACCAGCACGCCAGAGTTGATGAGACTTCTACGTTGAGTGTAAAAGTTAACTCACTCAGCTAGTTCATTGTCTATGACCAATCTGGAGGCTGATGAAGCAATATTTTGCATTTAGTAGAAGAGAAGCGCATCCCGTACATCCTTGAAATATTGCTCAGGACGACAAGAAGAATTCTGACTTTTTCAGCGTTTCCACTAAACAGAACCATGTTATCCAAGTATTCCAAGTCAATAAATATATTTCGTGATAAACGATTAATTCCCGAACATTTAGACGAAGAGAATACAATTTCTAGGAAAACATCTATGACCAAAGCAAATAAGAGGGATTGTCAGCTTGGTTGCTGAGAGTGGACCGCCACCCTACTGTTCTGAGGCATTAATCTATCAAGATCGAATGTTTTCGCTCACTTTAGATCACCTACAACCTTCTCAACCTCGTTAAGAGTCAGAGAACTTGCGTCAAATTGACAGGGGATATAGTGTAACTGAAAAGTAGCTGGAGGCTAAATGAACAGTTCTCTCCTGGACTGAGATTAAATAAAGGTCCTGTATTCTTCTGAGACTAACTAAAAGCCGACGTTTAAATACCTGTTTTCTTCATGGTACGAAATCGCCATCTAGAGTTACTCATCGCCGTCGCCTTTTCCATCTATTTTGCTCTCGTTGCTCACTACTACTTATAATCATTGTGTCAACTTTTCGTTGGTCTACACTTGAGGTGTCAGTGCTATTCATCATTTTCTGAGCCTGTCGGGATGAGTTTTTCGAGCATCTATCAGTCCAAAAGATGCCAACAAAATTTACTGATATTTTCTAACCCGTTGATGAGTTATTGGTAGATCTTATTGATGTAGCTTACAGCTGTCTGAATATCATCCTAATCTTTTCCAGGAAGTGTCTTTCCACAATTGATTAGATGACTAGCTAATTCTTCCTGGTTGCATCCTTGACCATTTTGCCTTCGAATAGATATCTCAGAAGTCTTTCCGTTGCGACTTTTCTACATCCCGTAAAAAAACATAATTGTGTACTCTCACTAGGGTATAATCAGAGTCCAGTGATAGGCTCCGAAATGAGCGACAGTTTTCTAAAAGGCCTCTCCAACGGTGGCTAATGAAGATATAGTTTCTGTTCATTACAGCGATGTTAGGGATTTCCAGGTTATAAAATGTATCTAATTATGCCTAAAGTTTTTACTTTCCAAAAATAAGTGATTGTTTAAAGCCAAATACAAGAGGCAAACCATCGCTATCTGTTCGCTGGGCTGGAACTCCAAAAGACTACCTAAGCATTTTTCGGTCTGACTTAGCCTATCACTAACTGAGGCACTAAATTCAACTGATACGATTACTACGCCTGAAACTATGACTTTTTGGAAGAGGATGGAAAGCTTTCTATAAAACTCATCTTTTGCTCCATCGGAGATGCAGCCAGTGGGGGTATAGACAGAAACGACGAAGGGACAATTGCACATGTTTTCGAGCTCTTACTACACTGTTTAGAAGGACAAAAAGTAGGCGACTGTCGATAGGAATCTAGTCAAGTCCCTATTCTACATCCAAACCTAGTTCTATACATGTAACGCCACAGCCACAAAGGATGACGGTCCAGCATTAGCAGCGAGATTGATTGAGCTCTTAGGCAGAATCTGAGGTCTGGACGTAATTCAATCTGACTGGTCTCAATCACCGGGTGCGCCAGTCCCTTTTTCCTCTTTCCAATTTTATTTCACTGGATTATAGTCTTTAAATAACATCTTCAAACCCTAACCTTTCCGGTCACTGCTTATACTTTTGCTACCTCTACCACTACGGGATTTGAATCGACAATTACATCTCTGTGTTAATGTGGTATGGCAACTCGAACTGACATACGTACGTACGAAGTTCTACGTTGTTGATGACTGACTGATAGTCATGAAGGATTTCTGTCGCGTCTACAGATAACACGAAGGGTATTTGGTTTTGGCTCCCCATAGTGGCCAGATGAGTGAATGACTATGCTAGGAAAGGGTATGTGCACTTCGGAGACAGAATGCATCAATAACACGAAATTCTAGAGTACTAACTAATGAAGCCTGTTGTTCAATATGATATAAGGTTTGAATATTCAAAGCTCCAACATGTAATTTAGGGTGCGATTTTTGGAGAACAGGAACAGTATTTTGTGAACTCTGATTGTTGGCACTGATGGTGATAATGAGGGTGGAAGATATATTCAGACGTGAAGAATGGATTTGGTCTTTAGTGGTTTTAGAGGAATGAGGACAGTTATACTTTCCAGATTTTCCATAGTATGGAGAGATATTTCTCTTTGAAAAAGAAATAGGGTTAGCAGTTGTCTTAACTTCACAGAAATATGACTGCATCGCCGAAAGGACAACATCTTGAAGTTGAGTAGCTTTAGATATGCTAACTCTGTAATTTAAAGGCCTTGGAGTCAGTGATGGGATGTCACTTTGAAAGTACAACCTCCTTTACTCTCTACCGTCCGTCGTGAAAATGCAGCACAGCTGTAGTTCCTGTCTCATCCTTGTACAATCAACAGAGCGACTTCGCCTTCGAACTTTAAGTAGCTGATTTTAATTACCGTTCTCCAACCGATCTGTCTGGCATGATAGGGCTTGAATAAACGAACGTTTCACCTAGCATAGTTCATATGGTCATCATGAGGCAGGAATTAATCGCCACATCAAGGTAGCAGACATCAAATTGGTATTCACAATGACATAATGTTGGGATTGAGTGCATTAAATCAAATATTCCACTTATGAAAAAAAGGAAGAACATAGATAATTAAATGTTACCGCTGTGAGATCTGTGCTTCGTACCATTAAGATTAATTGTGTAATGAGTATGTCTTAAATGTGAAGGGGTAGTTTAATGCCTAAGAAGCAGTTTCCAACCAATATATTAAAGGTTAAAAACGTACTTGGCATACAAGTCGTGTTACTAAGTGTTCCATATGACAATATTCTATGATAAGAATAAAAAATTCCACACAGATACAAAAAACTCTAGCAGGAAAGAAACTTACGACTGAGAAACAGTAAGAGAATCAGTCTCAACTTTTGTAACCTGGGGTAAATAAGATGTGGAGGTTTCGTTTGAACTCCCAGAAGCAAGCAGACAAGTGAATGGTTCTGATACTACATTATCAGGGTACACAGTGTGTTGGTGAGTATTGGGAGGTAACATATGAGGAAATTTTTGAGGTGTGTTATAAACAAGTTCCTGAAGATGAGTACTGTTAATTGAATCAGCTATAGGACAAAGATTAAGGTTAGTATCCGAAGTAACCGTACGAATATCAGTATGATTGTGAAGATCTGTTAAGAAGGATTGATTAATTATTTGAGGATGGTCAGTGTAAATGAAAGAGGGTTTTATATCGACATTTAAATTGGCGTTACTTGTGTCGCAAGAACTAGATTTTGGTGAGATTTGAGATTTGCATGAGGAATTAGTTATGGTTTGGATTGCTAAAAGGAAAAATAAAGATAAAAAAGAATGACGTGATGCACAATATATTTAAATCTCTGAATAAAGCTTTCTGAAATTGAGTTGTATGATGAAACAAACGGGTTCATAAGCAACACGACTTAAATCTATGGAAGATCGACCAAGCTACCATAAATAATGGTCTAAAGATATTTGCTTTAGTCAGCTAATCAGTCACAACGTAGAACCTTGTACATATGTACATCGGTTCAAGTTGTTATACCCCCATTAACACAGAGATGACACTATCAGACTAAATCACAGAATAGTAGAGAAACTAACGGTATCAGTGGTAATAGAAAAGAGTAGGCATCGAAGATATAATTCGAAAAGCAAATATGAATTAATGAAATAAAAACGAAAACGTTATAGGGAATTTAGAATCTCAGAATTTGCGAAAGACAGAGAATGGACACATCTGTATCATTTTGAATTATGTCATTCAATTAACTAACCCCTCTTGCGTATCTTTATCACTACGCACCACCGATGCTAATGACTTGAAATGACGAAACGTTATTCCTGGTCTCCTGAAACTACGCTGTAAACTACATGTTGGAGCTTTCAATGTTCGAACCTCGTATCGATTAGGACAACAGGCTTCTTTAGCTAGGACTCTGAGAATGTCGTGCCATCGATGTATGCTGCGTCTTGAAAACTAGCATACAGGATCCAAGTACAGTCATCTATTTGACATTTGCTTTAATTCATGATAAAGTTTACAGTGCTCAACGGAATGCGATAAGCCGTAATATAACACGAATTAGTCACTCAACTAAAAACAATAAGGTCTAATGTGACTCTTAAATAGCTGAAGTGCTAAGTCCAATCTCCATAAGTAGTGCTCCTGCACAACAGACGTCGCAAAATAGAACTAGGCAGTTATTCAGTAGTTTTTGTTTCGAATTGGCCAACACCGTGAGTATTAACAGTTGAAAGAACAGTTCAAATCTTCAAAGTTCATCAAGTCCTAGTAAAACTTGAGTGATCCTTAAAGTAATCTTAAAATAACGAATATTTATATAGCTAGTATTTATTAAATTGTATGAATCCAGGAATACAGTAAGAAAGTTATATATGGTCGAATGGAAATACAGGAGATCAATCAATAATTGACCAAAATTTGAATACCCGCAATAACTAAAAACAGAACTTACGATTATCACAAAGAACTGTACTATCAAGCATATCATATATTTGCTGACTAGGTGAATGAGACCTATTAGACTGTACACATGTAAGAATATCTGGATCTGGTTTAAGAATATCATTTTCCAGTTGGTTTAGTGGAGGAATTAAATACGAATGTGTATATAAAACGGATTCGTCTGAGACTCCATGATTCATATGAATGGCATCATGATTTGCGAAGATAGACATAATCACCCAATAAACAACTGATCTCCAAATTGTGCAGTTATTTTGCTAATATAGACAGAACAAAGAGCACTTCATATCTCATTTACACAAACATACCTAAAAACGAATATAAAAGAAACTAAATCACGAAAGTAATGTATTAAGTTACACCTAGTATATTTTACAAAATAGGGGATCAGTACATTGTAAGTCAAATGGTCTAATCAAATTCCCATCTTATTTTATCTAAAATATAAATGCAGGTACAACTAGGCGCCAATACAATTGATTCGAATATTTGTAACAAGGAGGGTGAATATAATGAAAAACAAATGAATGAAAACAAGTCCATATTTCAAATCAATGAGTCACATCTCTAGCACCACAACCAAGAAGTTGTGATCCATCAATACATGCGAGTTTTATAACTGTTTTACAACTTTCTTTTAAACCATGGAGCCATGTCATAAACGGACCAATGCTCTGCATTTTCTCCCCAGTCGCAGTGTCAGTAAATAAAGCAAGATGTGGAATTCACTGGGATAACATCTGTAAAACATGTCTAACATGGCGAAGTCGATTTTTCAAGGTGATGACGCCGAGTATTTGTCACTGCTCATGAACTCAAATTGCTTAACATTAACATAAATTAGTGTTGATAATATATATCAAGAATCCTTCGAAGATATTTATGATCGAATACGGAGAGTAAACGAACATCCCCAATTTAATCAGGCCGTGTTTTGCATGCATAGAGCAGCACACTCTCACCGATACGTTGTTGACCCGACCATAATAACCCCGCGATGACGACAAACATGGCCCAGATTGGTATAAGCCATTCTGGCTTTAATCATATGTTCTTAAATTTCGTCAATCACAATACCAATAGCACTCACAGAACTACCAAGCTACACAAGCTTTCTGACTACTTTTAACGGTTCATCAAAGGATGAGCTCCAGCACAAACTCTTTTCGTGAAAGTACTTTGTATTTAGATGTAAAGTACACATCATACCTACGGATGCTGATTGTCAACTAATCAAGTGCGATTCTCGTGGCCTAAAATATCATCGCACAATAAAACAAAATTATTCACATACCGATGACAGAAAATTTTATGAAGATAAGAGATTCATATCACCATCGTCACCACCTCTATTATGTACTTCCTTCTGAGGCGTTTCCAGACTGCTATTGATGGCAAAGTTAGAGAAAAATAGTGTTGGGCAATTCTGTCTAGTCAGAAACTAATTCCTGTTCCTTTGGATAGTTTATTTTAACTGAACAACTTGTACTTTTTGTTGTAATACGGTTTTTCTAGAGATATATAGCATAGCATTTAAATGTTGAAAGGAGTACGTGAAAATAATGTTATGCAACACTGATAATCTGTTATGAGTAACGAAGTGCGAGATCGAAATATCTAAGATCCAATTATATTCTTTACTGTTACATGGATATGTGCCGACACAATATAAACTATGTAGTCTCAAATAGTTTATGGGATCTACTGGGAAATAAAAAAAGCCTAAAATTGAAAATCTATCGTATAGACAGATCAGAAACCTAGGGACTAACCAAATGATTTAGGGAATAGTTATGTCCTAATTTGCATTTCATAATGTTTGCTTATGTACTCGCTGGAAAAGTGCGTTGGGAATTAGACAAAACTCCATACTGAAGAAATTTATTTTGTAGAATTAAACCAACTTTTTGAGATTACTCATATTTATGGCACTTTCTTCTAACGTTGAGATTATGTGGATAAAAGATGGATTTTGACACCAAATGCCTCGTACAAATGTAGTGAATTATGTAAGGTGTAATTAAACCAGAATACACTGACTATTTTCGAATGACGGGTAATAAACTATTTCTAATTTTGTGAAAAACTAGAGCAATTTTCTGCGTTTTTGAGCATTAACAGTTTGATAATTGCACGCTTTTCGAGTTTGACGTGATTTCTCACCAATAACTGGAAATATTCACCGTTCCAATACTACATTGGAATATTAAGACGCTTCAAAGTATACGTACTGAGTCTTCGTCTTGCTGGTAGACAACTATAACAACAAATTCGACCATAATCATACCAAGACTGAACCACTGAGCGGTAGGCCTAGCTGTCTCGATCAACTGCCCTCTTCCTAGTTGCTTCAACTGAGACAAAAACACATCCATTTTCTTGCGAACAAAGGACTTGTGGATAAGTTACTGAATCCATGAGAAGTTGTTTACTAGAACGGCCAAAAGTAACATGGCAATTTAAGTCTCTCAGGTTCTATTCTTGCGTAGAATATATTCACTTATCTCTATTATTTTCCTCCTCCGGAACTTTTTTCTCGAGTACTTCCTCCCTAAATTGTCTCACATTTTACCTTTTGATCTATTAAATGGCATGCACGGTAATAATGTTCCCACCATTGCCAATATTATAACTACAAGGACGACTATCACAGGAAGAGGTTTTAATTTAGATGTTATTAATAATTCGAAAATCCTCGTTTCTAGAAACAAAATCATAAGAAAGCTCAAGAAAACACCAGAAAAAATCTTCGGGAAATGTGTTCAACATGGATCACTCAACTTAAACGACGAAACTGGACTTCTGGCTAAGTAATCAGGATCACACTCCTACTCAGGTCTCTACTCCTAGTAAGACTAGCATGCAAAACAGAAATAGGTCGTCCTAAATTGCTCGCATTGCCAACTACTATTGGAGAAAAACAGCACAAAAACGATAATTGTATCGAATGCCCGTTACCCGTAAAAACCGGTGACTTGTCATTTGAATGTAAGTTTTGAAGTGGATGGGTTCACTTTCACTGCGATACAGCAGTACCTAGGCAGTAATGTAGGTTTGCACTAAGTCAGCCCTGTTCGTGGTTCTGGTACATTTTCTGACAATGTAGAGAAAACACACTAAGTGAACTAACAAAAGAGGGAGGGGACAAAGATGCTAGACAAAATTTTCTGATTTTGTTTAGTGTCCCAGTGTCAGAGGGTAGCTTATTCGACGGTAGGGCAACCTTTGATAAAAATGAGTGGGACAAATAATGTACAATGATGGGATTGCAGCCCGGATGAAATCAAGGATGAGTTTTACCACCAGTTATCTGTTCTTCTCCAGAAAGTGCGTTCGACAGATATTGTAGTACTAGCCGGAGACTTGAATGCTCAGGTCGGGTGGCTAGGCACAGGAGAGAGTTGTCTAGATGGCCGATGGGGACTTGTTGGTAGCAGGTCAGATAACGGGGACCATCTACTGCAACTATGCGCAGACCACAACCTGTTTCTGGCTAGCACTAACTTTCGGCACAGTCATCGCCGATGTGCCACCTGGCGTCCTCCCTCTGCATCTCAAGCCTGGACTCAGATTGATCACATCGCGATCAGCTACCGCTGGCGTGGTTGTGTACAAGACTGCCGCTCCTTTTAGAGTACCTATCTGGACTATGATCATGCCTTGGTCTGCGCCAATCTTGCCTTACTTTTCAATGGACAACGAAGTGACCGCCACCAACGGATTGATATTAGCAAGTTGGTTGCAACTTCTGTTGCAAATAAATATCGAACCGAGCTAGCATCTAGGCTAGCTACCACTCCACCGAAAAGTATAGATGAGCATTGGTTGCAATTGCATGACACCATGAAAATGGCGGGTACAGTCAGTTGTGGGTTCGCGAAACGTCCCGCTTATAAGCACTGGGATTTTTCAGGCTCCTTACAACTCATTGAAACCCGTCGGTCTATTACGGGTGACCGTGAGTTTGGCCACAAACGAAGGTTGTTATGTAGCGAAATTGGGCAAAGCTTGCGTAAGGACCGAGAAGCCTAGTGGTCGGAGCGTGCTAATGAGCTGGAAGCAGCAGCTACATCTGGTAATTACCGGAAGCTCTTCCAACTCATCCGAGCCACTGGCAGCAAGAAGTCTGGTGTGAGCCAAACAATCTGTGAGGATGATGGGATGCCAATCACTAACATCCATCGACGTCTTGGACGGTGGGCAGAATTTTTTGAAGGGCAGTTCAACTGGCCTGCTGCTCCGGCAACATCGGTCAGACTGCCCTGCCCCCCATGGCCGGTGACGACTGATCAGCCAAATCAGGAGGAAGTACGCAGGGAACTCCAACTCTTGAAGCGCTACAAATCACCTGGCCCAGATGACTTACCTCCGGCTCTTTTTTAAAGATGGTGGTGACTTTCTGACTAAGGAACTGACTAAGTTGTTTACAAAGGTGTGGGAGCTAGAGAGTGTATCAACGTCATGGAATGAGTCGATAGTTGTCCCTATCTTTAAAAAAGGTTCACATCGTTCCTGCAACAACTTTCTGGGGATAAGTCTATTTCCGATCGCGTCCAAGCTATTGGCTTCCGTCATACTTCGTAGGTTGTTCAAAACCCGAGAAAGATTGACTCGCGAGGAGCAGACTGGGTTTCGTTCTGGTCGAGGATGTATTGATCATATCTTCACCCTCCGCCAAATGTTAGAACACCATCATACTTTTCAAAGGCCAACAATCGTAGTGTTTCTTGACATCAGGGCTGCCTTCGATTCGTTGGATAGAACTGTTCTCTGGGATTGTCTATTGAAGAAGGTTGTGCCTGAGAAGTTTATTAACATCCTAAAAGCCCTATATACAAACACCTCAGGCAGAGTGAGGGCAAACAACCACCTCTCTGCATTGTTCCATTCGAGTAGTGGGGTTAGGCAGGGTTGCCCAATCTCACCATTCCTCTTCAACTTTGCCATCGACGACATTCTGGAAACAGCTCTGATGGATGTAAGTAATGGTGGTGTGGATCTGTTGCCTGGATAAAGACTGCTCAACCTTGAGTATGCGGACGATATTGTCTTACTGTGCGATAATCCCCAAGACATGCAATTCGCACTTAATCAGTTGGCAATCAGTGTCCGTAGGTATGGTATGTGCTTCGCACCTTCGAAGTGCAAAGTATTTCTACAAAACTGGCAGGATTCTAATCCTGTACTCAATCTGGATGGTGAGCAGATAGTA